AAATATTTATATATAATTTTTACTTTATTTTCAGTTGACACAAAAAATAGTAAACACAAATTTTAAATAATTGAAATAAAATTGTATTTAAAATACAAATGATTTTTTTAAACTAATAATTGTCTTAGTGTTACATTTTTTAATATTATACAAATTGATTTATTTTTATTTTTTTAATACTTATTTCAATAATTTGTTATACATAGATAATATTGTAGTTTACAACTTACATATTTGTTATTAAATATTTTCTTTAAATCTAAACAACTTAAAGATATGCTGTGAGAATTCAGGGACCTTACAAGACATGCAGGGAGAAATCATGGACCTTGTTAAGTGTTATCCATTTAAGCAACTCTTAAGGGAAAAAGAAGTTTTGAATTAATTACATCATTTCGGCTACTGGTTTTACTAAAAAATTTTAGTTTTGAATTTTTTTGTAAAGTCCATGAATTTTCATTTCATATCTAAATTCTATAATATATACAATCTTAACAATTTTTTGTTGTTATTATATTTTATATAAATTCTTTTATTAATTTCCATGGACTATTTTTTTAAAGTATAATATTTGTTTTTTTATAAATATTTTATAATTAATTAGTGACATTATTTGGGTTTTATTTAATTTTTTGTCTAAGGTAGATTTTCTTTAGGAGAGAATTTATTTCAGCTAGTATTTATTCTAAGTTTTTCCTTTTCGTTTTTGGTATTAAAATACTTAAAATTCTATTTAGAGTCTTGTATTTTTTTGTAGAATTAACTTAATTTATTTTTGTTATGTATTTTTTTTTTTTAATTTTTTTAATTTATGATATTATATTTTACATTAGTAGTTGCTTCCACTGTATATGTTTGTATTTCTTTTTTCGAAATATGATTTCATTATTTTACAGAAAAAAAAATATATTTTTTTAATTTACATTTATAATTATAACTTAATTACATAATTTACAAATTTGTTGTATTTATTGTTTTTAACAGATGTATATTGTTTTTAACATATAGAAATAAGTATTTTCATTTTACTGTAAAATATAAATTGGCAGTTTATAGAGAGAGAGAGAGAGGATATAAAGATAAAAGAGTGAGGAAATAAATATTACGGCAAATCTTTAGTTAGTTTATTTATTTTCTCTTTCAAATGCATTTGTGAATTTTTGGACGTTATAGCGAGTGGATTGTCAGTTCAAATTAAATGATAAAAGTACTTTTGTGTAGAAAAAAAAATACGAACACAATCCCCAGTTTTTTGATTTAGTAGCAAATAGTTAATTCCGAAAAAAATTAAGTAATTCGATAAGTTTTGAAATAAAATCAGCATTAATGGTATAGTAAACCTAAAACACTAAGAACTCCTTACTAAGGATTCACCTTAGGCAATAAAATCATTGATAAATTAAATGCTTGGAAATAATAATGAAATGGGCATTGCTGATTTATTTAGAATGATTAACAAAGAGGCGGATACAACCTGCCCACATTCTAAATATGCAAAAGTTGCAGTTATGATATACATTTTATTAAATTATACGACATTATAGATCAGTATATCTAAATGTGATTTAAAACTAATGTACACAAACATAACATCCATTGTGCACCATTCGTACGGAATTAGGCCTTAATAATTTGTAACGACACGATCAATAAGGTCATATTCGATTTTGGTTTCCTTTCCTTTTGGCAAACATAGCCACATAATATTATCAAACCTCAGTTAGGTACAAAAATGTTATGTACAATATCCTGTGATAGATTAGACATACCATCTTTGTAGGACCATTGAAATGGAATCGGACGAAATTAACTGTGCACATAGATATTTGAACTAAATTAAAACAGTACATTCACATACCAATCTGAAATTTATATGTCAATGGTCCATTTGCATAAAATCGGACGAAACTATGTATGGGAGCTATATCTATATCTGAACCGATTTCAAAAAAAACTAGGCCATTCGCGTCATTTTCTTAAACGAACACTTGGTAATAGTGCTGCAAAAGCTGCACCCAACATAAACCAAGCGTTTGGGAGAATGCGGTTAACGATCGGAAAGTGCAAGGCAAAATAAGCCGCGCGGAAGACCCAAGTCTGTGAAGAATGATGACCTGAAGGCTCTAGTGGAAGCGGATCCAGCCGTATCCACGAGGGAATGCTATCAGGATGAAAGTACTGGCAGTACATTGATGAGATGCACGATAAGTTAAAAATTGTGCGCCCATCGCTTGTGAATAGGCATGACCCGCTACTGCTCCATGGCAACGCTCGGCCTGTGTAAACGACTCAATTGTCCACCGAATTCCTGGGGCAAGCTCCCGGCGGCCAGAGTCCGTCAAAGAAATTTATTTCTGGCAGCGACAGGAGTAAGGAAATGCCTTCTGGGTTTTTTAGTGTAGGTGGGTTTAATTGTTAATGTTTTTGACACAGTTGGTATTGGAGATATTGTCCGAGACTGGGGTATGTGGCACCGTTGGTACGGGAAATAAGACCGGGATTAAGCTAGCGATCTCTCCGGAGAAAAATTGCCGTGAACAGTTTCTTGGATGACTGAAGAACTTGGACTTGGAGTCCTAGTGGCGTACGGCAACACACTAGTGGTACGTCGAATTTCCGTGAACGGCGAAGGTGGCAAAAACAACTCACGTGTTGTTTCGTGTGTGGGGTCGATGGTTTCAGTGGCAACGGGAAGCTCACTTAATAGTTAGTCTTCTTCACTTCTTGCCTATTACTTGACTCACCTGTTGAAAGGACTTAGGGTGTTTCCTCGTCTGGTCCTTGTAATGATAGATTTTCTCTCACGACTGTCGTCGTTCGCCCTTTTATAGGACCGTGGTCACAACCTTCAGGACCACACTGTTGTTATGCGTTACCCCTTTGCGACGCATTGCAGTCTCTACGCTCGCGCTTTGCTAGTTATTTACCAACAAGCAACGCATTTGCTGCACGGAATTCGAAACAACTTGTTCTGAGAATTCAGATTTATATATTAATTCCTTTAATTACTTTCCAAATATTCGGGTGTAGCCGAGGCTGCGAATTCCGACATCAAAACTGAACGAACTTGAATATGAAGTTTAGCAACATCCACCATATTCACCGGATCTCTCGCCGACCCATTTTCAATTTTTCAAACATTTAAAGCTATTTTTAAAGGGCAAACACTATGAAAATGAAGACAGTCCAAAAAAACTCGATATCAGAGTTTATTAATTCTAAAGACGAAATGTTTTCCTATTGAAACGAATGGAGCATACTTTGATTGAATAAACGGTTTTTAAAGAAAGGTACGCATACATCAATCTGGACCTAATTCAGCCCCGAAGTAATTTGCTAAAATATAAAATTTGTGCGGTGCATATATATGTCCAAGTTGTTATATAACATTCCATAACCGCCCTTTCTTTTTTCGTTATAAATAAATGTTTAGACAATTTTTCTTAACATTTAGCGTAACGAATTCCTGGTGAAAAATACTAAATTTAAGTGAGTTTCATTTAAATTTTCCTACTAGAGTGTCTCTAATTTGGTACACTACTTTTTGAGACCTAATATCAACTAACACCATAACATACTTCCCGTTTAAATATCCGGATCGACTTAAGAAATTTTGAAAGCAATTCGGGAAAATCTTTTGAATATTTTAGAACAAAGCAATGTTGGTAAATGGGCTCTTGGAAAATTGGGTAAAGATCCTCTTTATGAAATTGGACTTAGCGGATGAGCGATTTGAGGGGCAGTTGCGGTCAACATTTGCAAGACATAATGTTGTCCACATATTAGGTGGATCGAAAATTGGGTTGGGTAGAGGAAAAGTTTGATCTAAACTGTACATTTTGTAATATTTGTACCAGAAATCTAAAAGTACACACCTTCTAGTAGCTCGGCAATGGGTCACTATTTTGAAAATTGTACATAAAGTTAACTGAGAATTTAAATTAATCCAAGTTTTGCACTTTTTAATTGTTTGATCAAGCCTAGATCAAGTCTGCAGATAAAAGCCATCGGATACTTCTTCTGGTACCTCCCTCACAAACGGTAAACATTTTCGACACCAAAGACCGGGAAACAAAATTACAAAATAACATACCAATCCCTTTTTGAAAATCAACCATAAAAGGGGAAGTCATAAAAGAACGGAAATAGTGAGAAACTCAACATTTAATTATTTGGAAATGAAGTGGGCACAATATTATTTTAAGCTAAAATTGGAACCAGGCGCCTAATAATTAACTCCTACACTCAAGTTAGCCCGCATGACATTTTCTACCCTATATACAGGATGATATTCTGGGGACTATCGACATTTCATCTTCCAGTTGAAAATTGTCTAGGTACAATTGGAGCCATATGGGCGTATGATAAATATATACAAATATGCATATTCTAACCTCATCACATTTATTATTATGGATTAGTTATTCTCTGTAATTTCAAAATATGGAAAAATTATGTTATTATAATTATAAAAATACCAAGTGTTTTATGTATTTTCATAATTTTTGACCATTTTTAGTCGTATTTTATATTAACCCTTTATGGCCCAATGTTGCCCACAGGCAACAAAATGTTTTAGAGCTTACATTTAGTATGCAGCTAGTGGATGTATAATCATTGGATTTCATACGAAAGTATTGTGCCTTACATTTTCATTACAAAATGGATTCAAATATAACTGGGGATTGTGTTGCACCTTGGGACATTATTAGTAGCGAAACGTGTTCATTGGAATTTCCTTTGTTATCATTTCGGTTAGTTCGTTCTTTCATATTACTTTCCAATTGGTAGGAGAATTTTTGTTATTATTGTTGTTGTTTTTCCGCAATTTCTTTCAGTTCAACATAAAGTAAAAAGCCGCCCACAAAAAATCGATAATACTCTTTCCGAAAATATTTGCATTCGTTAATGTTTGTAGTTTGTTGTTGTTGTTGTTCAAGTTAATGGATGGTGAATTTCTCCACCATTTCCCATTGTTGCCGCCTGCAACTTTGGCCAAAAATTAAAGCAAAGATATTATGAAGCCCTGCCCGGTGCGCTGCAGGAACAACTCAGACACAACTTTCGGGTACACGCTGTGTCATTAAACAATCCTTAATGGCCATGATGTTAATATTATCATCCAGGTCAGTGGATGAGTTACATGATGTTGTCGTTGTTGAGGGTGCTGCCGAGGCCAGTGACGAAGAATGCAGACTACTGCTGGCGACACCAATGCCACCGCCCAAGGTGCTGCCACCAACTCCACTCGAACCGCCTAAAAGTAGGCCAACACCAGATGTCGAGCCTGGTGTACTGCCACTGCCACTTAGGGCCGATGTTGTTTGTGATGTTAACATCATTGAAGGCGGCGTGGGTGTCATGTAATGTCCATGATTACCACGGCCGCCCAGCGTATTGTGATGATGCAGCGTCGTTGTTGCATGATGAAGGTTAACACGTCCTATACTGCCGGCACCTGCATTTGTTGAAGATGCCGCGGAGGAGCCAGTGGTATGATGCAGGCTGGACATGGCTGTGCCACTGCTGCTGTTAATGAGGCTATTCAGTATGTAGCCACCACCACTCCCCAGGCCAGGTGGCAGAGTACCCACCCCACTGGAATGCAATTTCTGTTGCATATGCGGTGAGCCCATCGACGAGGCCAGCGATGTGGGTGAGCCTATGATATTGGCCACATCCGAAGCCATATAGGCCGCAACAGTAGTAGCATCACCAGCACCACCGCTGCCGCTTCCTGTTGTAGATGTTGCCAATACACCCGCCAAACCGCCACGACTAAGTGTACCAGCAGTCGTTGAGCCTGTGGGCGATAGCATTGAGGCGGAAGCCATAAGATGGGTTCGTGCGTTGATTTGATTGAATGTTATGGGTATAGTTGAGTCATTGCTGGCACCGACACCACCACGGCCCAAAGTGCCACCACCAGCATTTGAGCAGGCCGCTGTTGTTGTAGCTGTACCCGCTGAAGCTGGATTCTGTTGCATCATGTTTGTTTCATAGCTCTTGGTGGTGTGTTGCTGTTTATGGTAAAAAATTGAAAAGAAAGTAGAAAAAAATGAAAATGGGAAATGTATTCCAACACCAATGGCATCATCAGCAGCATTCATTTGGAAATTGTTGTTGCGTTTATTTATATGGCAGACCAAAGTTGTTGTTGTTGGCCATCATGACAGCCATGATGGAGATGAGTACAGTGACGAGGCAAAAGAAAAATCCAGCGTAGACCAGGCCAACAGCGCATGATGTCCATGATCATTGTTGCATTACACAGCCAAATAGCAAAAGTGATTTCCATGGTAAAATCCAGCAAGGCATTCGCATTCGTAAAGAAAGTAGAAAAAGAGAAAGAAATACAAAAAAAAAATGAGTAAAACGTGGCAAAAACATCTGTCAGTTAATGGCAATTGTTTAACAGGCACCAGTACCACCATCACCGTCATCATCATCATCCTCATCACCATCGTCATCATTCGTAACATTGGAGACAGCACGGAAACGTTGCTACGTTGCAGGAAATTGCTAATTCCTGTAACAGCTACGATTTTTTTTCCTTGCCACTTGCATTTCGCACAAATACAGCTACAATTCTTCATTAAGGATTTTGTTGACTTTTTCGCACAGCAAACTACAACGAGGACGATGAGAATGATGCTGACGATAATGACAGCGACGACGAACGATAGTCGTCCATGGCAATGACGATGACGACGACGATGATAACGATTAAGATTGTTTCTCGGCCAAACTTAATTGTATTGCTTTCGGCCATTAATGGCATTCCCATTGATGACTGATGTCGGTATGTTTGTGTGTATGTATGTATTTTCTTATTATTTGTTTCTTCTTTTTCCTCACTTTTTGTTATTGTATTGACTTTTGAATTCATTTTTCGCAATTATTGCATTTCGTGAAAAATGTTTTAACACAAAATGATTCGCTATTGGATGTTGGCTATATACGAAATAAGGCAAGTAATTAATATTGCAACGTAAGTACGAATTTCATTCTTAATTGATAAGAATTTTTTTCGCAAATTGTTTTTATTAAAATAAAATAAATAAAAAAAGCCGGGTCAATTATTATTACAACACCTCTTAAAGTGGTATTGAAGTAATTTTTAAATATTTCATTTACTGCAATAAATAAAAAGGAGGAACAAAAATAAATCAGTATGAGATGGTATCTTCTTGGGTACCAGTGCAAGGTGGCGTATGAGTATTACTAATTGTAATTCATTGGTATATATGGCGTATGATAATTACGGATATACCGACAATATACCGATACCGATAATAATTATATTGGCCACATCGTTTTTGATAAATTTAAAATCTGGCCTTATTAATTACCTTACAGCAATAATTATGAATAGTTTTTTTTTTTATTTTTTTTTTAAAAAAAAAATCTTCAATAAAATATGTTTAAAAAATCTTCGCTTTTTATAAATGCTCAGGTAATATATTTAAGAAATCTAGCCTGGCCAATACTTTTTGAATATTTGCACTCTCTTGACCGATTAGATGTCCACAACTCATCTTTATTACCCTGAACTTTTAAATCGTAACACTAAATTTTTCTTATTCAACACACAAATCAAAAACAACCATTGTCAATAGTAGACCAGATCCCCTTCCCCGTGTAAAACTTGCAATGTTCGGCTTACAATTATGCACTCTAGACAGGAAAGCTGACAAATAAGTTTTGCCATTTTTCACACAAATGTCTGGGTCCATTTGAAATACTGACCGATAATCATGAAAACCGCCATGCATGTTCCTTGGTCAGATCCCTTTCGCCGTGTAAAATTTCGTTTTGCTTGCAAATATTTGTAGCCTCAAGAGCTATTAACCAAAGCAGGCAAAAATAACACGTTTGGTTAATTTCAAAACAATAGGATACTTCTTTGACATGTACACGTTCTGCATGCAATATTTCGTGACGAATTGTCTATAACTGTGGCCTTTATCGTGTTTACAATTTATAGTGGACCGACGGACGGACACACATGTCTAGATCGACACAAAGCTATAATACCTTGACAAAAGAGTTGTGTAGGGTATAAAAACCTACGCTTTGTTAATTGTTCCAAAAATATTTTTTGTCTACGCGTTGTACAAATGCTCAAAAAATATTAATACGGTTTACAAAAATGTTCAAAAAATTTTACGCTCTTACATTTAACAAAACTCGACTGTATCTGAGATGAAATGTGTATTATCGTCGTTAACACAAACACTGTCGTATACCGCCAACCATACCAATCTGTTCGAGGACATCGAGAAAACCAACCTCCGGTCCTGTTTAAAACAAACAGTTCCCCATGGTGGGGCGATCTCTCCGGAACTCATTTTATGAAAAATGACAAAATGTTAACACCACTGTCGTAGTAAAAATGACAAAATGTACTCTAGAAAAACGTAGTTCGTGTAAGGTCGCAGTTTATACAAAACATACTGATGTATATATTCGGTTGTGAGAATTATCATCCAACTTTTTCCCACTATGAAATATCGGGAAAACGTTACAAAATATTTAATGTTCCGGATAAAACTTACTGTTTTCTTTAGTGATCGGTTAACATGTATGGGATAAAATGAGCCAAAATCTTTATTTCTCATTCTAATCGATCTGTAGATCATATGTGTGATCCGAACATCATGTAATTTAACCGGGAAATTGAATCTGGGAACAAAGAGCATGCCATTCTATGGAGGACATGTTTTATCCCCATTAAACAAAGTGTTTCAATTTGAACTAAAGGTAACCAATCCTACATATATGTCGGCAAAACCGACTGAATGAGCAGGAGCATAATATTCGGACGGGACTGACCATTGACCCTTCACAAATACCAGTGACAGTTGCCAATTTTTGTGCCTCTAATAATACTAAACACTATTAGAATATATAGAATAATATATAAATATTTGAGTATATTCGACAACACATGTACGTCAAGATAGTTGAGATAAATTCAAAGTACAAATATTTCAAATTTTGAAATAAGTTTGGCAGAAATCGGTTACTTACAGACAGACCGCCATTGTAAATTGTCGAATCGGATTTGGTTCAATGGCACATGGATTCTAACCGAAAATTTTGGGCGGATTTTTTTTTCAAACGGCAGCACTGATGCTATGCTCTAGTTTCCATAGCAGCAGAGGAGAAACAACTGCCCACACAGACACAAGTGGTCCTATCGAAGCTAAATCAGATTCGTTCATCCGCCTCAATTCTTACTGGGTACAAATTGAACAAATGCCTGGCATATGGACTAGAACCACACGACACGTTGCACTTATTGAACAGCTCTGCAAATCCTACTCAAATGTCACCATACAGGTTGCATCTTTCCTGAATTTGGACACTGAGTAGGTAGAACCGATCAACATATAATGGATTCCTTTTTTTATACATCAACCCTATTCTGAGCAACTGTCAAAACGTATTTAACGATCACCTTCTCATGCAAAAAATCTAATGAATTTTGGTGAAAGAAATACCCAAAGATCAAGATATCGATTTTACATTATCTGTACACGTCTTATGACGAACTTATTGTTTAAGCCAGCCATAGAATTCATTACCCGAGGAGGACCTGTTTATACCCTTCACCACACTGTGGTACAGGGTATTATGTCTGTGTACATATGTTTGAAGATGGCAAAAGGAAACGAAATAGACACATGTTTACTTTTGAGAATATGCATAGAATCACTTTCTGGGTCGATTTATGCATGTCCGTCCGTCCATGTATTCTTTGAACCAAGTGCAGATCGTAGTTATGATCCAATTTATATGAAATTTAGCACAGTTCACTTATTTGGTCCAATGACGAACCATGTAAAATTTAAAGAAAATCGGTTCATATATATTTTCGTCTGATTTTATCTAAATGGTGCAATAAATACCAATATGTGTCCGATTAAAACTTGTACAGAGTTATGAATTAGGTCTATTTTTATATGTACGAAGTTTTGTGGAAATCGGTTAAGATTTAGATATAGCTCCCATATATAGTTTCGTCCGATTTTTGGTAAATGTTGCACCAAATTCCCAATATTTGGCCCATTCAAACAAAAAATTGCGCAGCGTACTGACTAAAGTCCAGTTTGATATCTGTGAAGTTTTGTTGAAATCGGTTCAAATTTAGATATAGCTCCCATATATTTTTTTCTTCCGATTTTATTAAAATGGTGAACCAAATTCCCTATGCTTGTTCCGAATTACGCGAAAATATGCATGACGTACCAAAGTGTGTCTATAATGATGTGTGTGTGTGTGAAATTTCGTTGATTTAGCGGTAGCTCAAATATCAATTTTCGTTTGATTTTATGTAAATAGATCACCAATCTCTTTATAGTTTTTATTCGATTGATCAGATATTGTGCATAGCATATCAACTATCAACTAAAATCCGTTCAGATTCAGATATAAATCCCATACATATTCATATCTATTTTATACAAATGACACGTCAAATAACCCAAGTCTGCCCGATTCACTTGTAGATTTCGTATTGGTAAGTGTAGGGGTTAATTTATATTTGGAATATTTGTTGCTTCAATGTAGACCACATATTTAATTTCGTACGATTCCATTCTTTCCTATCAATAGGATATTGTACATATGTTGTATGTACCCAAAGTGGTGAAGGGTATCATATAGTCGGCCCGTCCGGCTTTTGAACTTTTATTTCTCGTTATTTGCTTTTTTATTCTTTCATGAATGACAAAAACATTATTCGATAACCAAAAAATTGTGTTTTATTTAGGTGACCTAAATGAAACTCATCTTTTTGGATCGCATATCAAAAAAGTCTAATGTATCATTACACCTCTAAAAATAACTCATACGCTACCATTACTGTAAACGACAAACAATTAACAGCACTCATACGCACCCCCATCCTATCAAACTATTATCATAAATTGCCATATATATTTCGCCGCCAGCAATTTTCTAATAGTTTTAGTTTCATAAATATCATTCGATAAATCAATCAATCAATAAATCAAAAGCCATTTAAATTAAAATGTTGCAAAAATTCCTCAAATAAATGCAATAATGTCAAAATATTTCGCTTGTTTGTGTAAATTGTCACACCCAAACATGAAACAAAAAATATTGTCATCATGCAATTATGTAGGTGGTAGGTATGCACTTATGTCATTCACGATAACAAAAAAAAAAACTGTCGTCAACAATAACAAAAACACGTAAAAGAATACCAGGACATTCACTAAACCATGTCCATGTGATGACAATGGTGCCTGCCCCATTACGGCCATTCTGATGGCTGATGACCATGATGACATTGATATTTTTCAATTAAACACTTACATTGGAGCTCGGTGACCATTTGGATGATGTGGATGTAAAATGATGGCTAACACTGCCATTTGTAGCAACGTTTACACCGCCGCCGCCTCCGACGCCACCATCGCCGCTAACACCCCCAATACTGGCATTGGCTGAGCTTGTTGAACTGCCGCTGCCTACACTGCCAACTACGAATTGTATTTTTAGTTGTTTGGTTGTTTGTTTGGCGAGTGTTTAGTTGCACAGATACAGCCAAACACACACACACACGCACATAGACGACAGATAAGAATTGAATTGGAAATGGCATGGCAAACAATGATTGGTTTGTGATGGAAATTTATTAAATTTTTGTGTCGGTCATGCGAGAGCATTTTGTTGTGTTGGAATTTTTGATATAAACCGGCAACCATTTTTCGAAGAATCACAGAAAAACACAACAACAACAGGTCCAGGAAAAAAACAAATACCAGCAAATATGCAACCAACAACAAGGATCATCAGCCGAAATATGCAAGAACACCATGGATGATGATGGTGTTCATGGTTTTAGTGTATGTGTGTGAGTGTGTGTGACGTTCATGGTTTTAGTGCATGTGTGAGTGTGTGTGTTTGCGATTTACGTAGAAGATTTGATTGTGTGCAGATTTCGATTTTTCAATTTTTATGTTTGGTAATGGTGTTGTTGTTATTGGTGGATTTGAAATGTTGTTGTTGTTTTATCCAAGGGATGGATGGATTTTTAGCATGAATCAAAGATAGCATCGGGAGCAAAAAAGAAGTGACCATTGGGTTTCGTTAACATTATTTGGTATTTGGTTTGGTTTTTTTTTTGTCGAGTTTCCATGTACATTTTCCAAGTGTGGAATTTTAGTAAAGGCAGTGATGTTGTTGTTGTTGTTATTATTGCCGTACCAATGAATTTCGGTTGCAATATTGGTGGAGGGATCGGGTTTTTTTTCGTTGTTGTTGTTATTTTTCAAATATTGAACAATTTCCACAGCAATTGTTTAGAATTGTTTAAATTGGTTTATAGAGAAAATTGAATTCATTCATTGTTTTGTATGTACGTGTGTGTTTGTGTTTTTTGTTAATTTTAATGGCCAGCAAGTACAATTTTTGTTTTGTTGTTTTTTTTTTCGATTTTATAATTTTCATTTCGTAGCAACCAATTTTGGTGAATCAGGAAAATTAAAAATAGGAATATGCATTTCATTGCCACATTTGAACAGTTGCCAAATTTGGAGTTGGAAGTATATTTTGTGGTGGACCGTGTATGTGTGTGGTTGGTGGTATTGAAAAAAAAAAATTGGAAAAGAGAGGGAGAAAAGAGAAATGGAAAGATAAAAAATTAATTAGCAAAAAACAATTTCAAATATTTGTTTTTATTATTTTTATATTTAATTATATGTCTTAAAATTTTTTGTTGTTTTGATAAAACTTACCGTATTGCGATGGTATAACATCAGGATCACGTTCATCCTCAACCAAATCCTCAGAGGATTTGGATTTAATGTCAGTATGTTGCCAACGGGGTTTATCCATGCCACTGCCCTGTAAAATATAAAGGGAAAATATGAAATATTTTTCAATAAGAACAACAAAGAGATTTTATTGCGAGAACTTTAAAGTGGACAGTGTTTAAAATCATTTGATTTCAAAATTTAGGACCATTTGAAACTCACATGTTTATAGGCGTCCTACACATACCTGTCTTTTAATTTTAGGCGCATACATAAACACATATAGGCATCATCCGAATTTAGATTCTTATTTTTTAAATGAAAATCCTCAGGACTTAGAAAGTATGGCTTACAAAAAATATCCCCCAGTGATACTGGGCGGCAAATCTTTCTACTAAAATTTTGAATATTGTCGATATTTTCGGACAAATGTAGGAATTTTTTAAGAATTTGAGAACTTATTAAACCGAATTATGTATTTCAGCTTTGAAAGGATTAAATGCTTCCCGGCGGGAAATATTTAATATCTCTCCCGCCCCATTTTATGTATGTTAAAGGTTCTGGACAAATTTTCCAACCAAAGAGCCCGTAATGCGGTATTTGGATTTTTCTTGAAATAAAAACCTGATGTTAATAATTTAAGGATTTCGACCGATTTTAAGTATAGTTAAAGTCCTACGACGATGTTGCGTCATTAATTAAATTCCTCTATATATCTAAACTTGTCATTTCTTTATGGTTATCAATTCACAAATCACCTTCAAAAATATATCTAATTTTTAAGATATCCTTTCTAAATAGAACAGTTTTCTTTTTCTAATTGTGTTTTAATTTTCTCATAGCTCCCCAAAGAAACTCGATAATAATCGATCACCAAACATATCATGTAGTTGTCCATTCTCAACTTTAGTGTCAGCGATGTCATTTTCCAACGGGAACAAACAAAGTGCCAACATTGACTCGCAGCGTTTTATGCTTGTTCTGACATCGAACAAATTTCATTAAAAATTCACAAACAGAAAAGCTGAGCCAAAGCAAAAGACAATATCAAAAGGTTGAATGGGAGACAATCGAGAAACGAATGTAAAGTTCATAAAAAACACGAAAGAAGACAGGAACTGAAAACTGAAATGGATATGAATGTTATGATAACGGAGAATAATTGAATTTTCAATACGTAGATGGGTTCGAAAATTAGCGGAATTTAAAATAATATATATATATATATATATATATATTTATATATATATATACGTTCGTCCCCATGCCTAATTTTTTTCTTTAGGAAAATATACATGTCGAACAAGGAACAGAGGACAATCCTTTAAAATGTTGACAAATGCCAATGTAAACTTTTGGACCATATATGTTACACCATTCTTTCCGATAAAATAATTCAATAAATCTACAAATACCATATTTCACCTTCAAAAAAAATATTGAGACTAATATAGCGATATTTAAAAATTATACCGAGAGCTCGTGACTACGCAAATGCAGAATTTGCAAAGGTGGTGTAGGATAATTTTAACTCGGCAGTAGATTCAGCAACAGCCAAATTCATAATCGAATTAGCAATAACTTTTTGGGGTTTTATTAGGAAAATATCCAAGCATCCAAGTTGGTTAAAATAAACGTTTTGGAATATGGAAATTTGGGAGGTACCTTAATGTGGGGACTAGTTTAAAAAAATTACCAAAATTGAGGGTTCGATACTTTGCTAGCCAATCAGAATCCTAAATTCCAAATCACAGCATTTGAAAAAGATTATCATAATAACGAATATATCCGGGGGTACCGTATTAAGGGGACCATATGCAATACATCCTGAAAAATCTGTCATAGTTAATCGATATAGATTGTGATCATATATAAATATTATTTATGGGTCTTCGATGATTATTTCAAGCCACCCGAACTTTGGATACCCTCCACCATAAGAATCCAAAATTCCAAATAATAGCTTTTGAAAACCAGTAAGGAAAGTAGTAAATTCGGACTGGGCCGACTATAAGATACCCTTCACCACTTTGGATATATTCTACATATGTATCCTACCAGATGTCGCCTTTTTGAAGGAACATTGACGTGAAATTGAACGAACTTAAATATGTGATCTTTAACTATATCTAAACCGACTAACATAAATCCCTACACATGTCACTTTGCAACCCATGATAAATTTTGTAAGTCAATTTAAAGAAAACTTGACACACGCTTTTTGGTACTTGATGTGCAGTTAACATGAATAGGCCGAAATTATATATGGAAGCTCTGCTATATTTATATTTGAACCGATTTCAAGAAAACTTGCCAGAGATAAATTTATATTAACTTCAGTACGTTGCATCAATCGGCCTAGCTATGCATCTTAACTGAAATGGTGCACTTAATATCGGACGAATATATATATATATATATATATATAGGAAGTGTATGTAACTCTGAACCGACTTTCACGAAACTTAGCACACATAATTCGAGACTAAATTATGTATGCTATGCCAAAATTCGTGCAAATCGAAAGATATATAAAGAAGGACTTTGGTGCACTAATTACCTTAAATCGGGCGAAACTATATGTGGGAGCTATATCTAAATCTAAACCGATTTTCACGAAACTTAGCACACGTCATTCTAGACTAAATTCAGTACACTATGGCAAAATTCGTGCAAATCGAATGGTTCTCAGGGAATTTGGTGTACCATTTACCTACAATCGGGCGTAACTATATAGGAGCTATATCCAAATCTAAACCTTTTTAAACGAAACTTATCACACGTCATTTTAGACTTAATTTAGTACGCTATGTCAAAATTCGTGCAAATCTATAGATTTTCAGGGACTTTGGTGCAACATTTACCTAAAATCGGGCTAAACTATATATCGGAGCTATATCTAAATCTGAACCGATTTTCACGAAGCTTATTCAGTACACTGTGTCAAATTTCGTGCAAATTTGGTACACCATTTACCTTAAATCGGACGAAAATATATATGGGAGCTATATCTAAATCTGAACCGATTTTTCACAATTTCAATAGGGTTTGTCCTTGGTCCAAACAAATGAGCTGTGTCAAATGTCATCCAATTCAGATCATAAATGCGACCTGTACTTTGTTTACAATTTAACATGGACAGATAAATCGACTCAGAAAGTGATTCTATGCATATTTTCAAAAGGAACCATGAGTCTATCTCGATTATTTTTGCCTGTTACAAACATATGCACAAAGACATAATAACAAATACCACAGTGTGGTGAAGGGTATAAAAATACCATATGAACTAGAATTTAGGGTTATAGTATGTGTAAAGGGTTGCTAGGGGTCCAGAAGACCCATCGATGTGGCTGTAATTATTCCAGGCTAATGAGAAAGAACAATATCCGTACTATTTAAAGTATTTTAAATATTTTTAGACGCATTTTCCCTAACAAAATAATTTCATAGGCCAATGAAATTATTTTTTTTTTCCCCTAAAAAAAATAATTTCATTGGAATTCCGGATTCTTGAAGTGATACTTTTTTAATATCCCCCTTAACCGAAGTTCCATATTAGTGTTAAATAAATAACTTTTCCATTGTTTATATTTCAACGTAGACTTTTCCAAAGGTACCCATTATGTTTCGTTACATTAAAATTCTTAGCCTATATTTCCAAAGACCATCAGGAAAAGGACCGTTCATAGACTTTGACAAATTATATTCTTTAAATATCTTTTCACTATATTGATTTAAGATTTTTACGTTCCTTTCGAAGTCCCTTGGCGGGACTTTTATTGTTAGAATAACCTTTAGAAGACATTTTATTAAAAGAAGAGGCTTTAGGATTTTTATATAAAACCCTTTAACATTTGTTCAGTTATAGAGAACTCCATAGACCCCTAAACTGTTTTGGCAGGATTTTATTCAATATTAATATTTCCAATACCTTATTTTCAATTTAAACCAAACATTTTCAATCCGATCGCCGTTTTAAATTTCATTCTTCCTTTTTTTCTTATTCATCATTTCTATCTACGATATTACTTACCTTATAAACATCACCGGTTTGAGCGACTACAGCTGTGGCCGTTGCCTTTGTGCCATGCTGACGATTGCGACGTAAATTGTGTAAAAACGTCATCATGAATATTTTCAAAGCGATTGCCAAACTAATAATAACAATTGTAAGGACACTCCCAACGATAACGGGTGACAGTGTCAGGGATACATCATCGTCTATGAGTGTGAGTGTGTGCAATTTTTTTAATATTGTTATAGCAGTAGGAAAAAAACGTATATGGAAATAATAAAGGTGTGGGGAGGGGAAATAAGAGACAGTTAATGTCAGTCACAGAGACACACACAAATAAACCACCAATGACGGAAAAGCGGGATAAAATGAAAACAAATTGAAAAGGGTGGGGCATGTATGTGAGTCGAGTTTAAAATGGATAGATTCACAATTATTGTGTGATATGTGTGTTTTAGGGGAAGGGTTTTGGGTGGAGGTTAGGGGTCAGTTATTCACAAAAAATAGCAATTATTATACCAAACAAAAAATATTGAATTTAGGTGTGTATGTGTGTGTTTGTATCATCATAGTATCAATATTAGAATAGGTGTGTAACATGTCATTGCAACACAACCCATTTATGTGTCAGTTGAGTGTGTGTGTGTGTATGTAAGTGTTTGTTCCATTCATGTTTGACATGATGTGGTTGCATACATGCAAAAAAACGAAACAAAACAAAAGGTTTGTATGTCAGCAGTGTTGATTTGTTGTAGTTGTTTAAATTTTTTATTAATATTTTTTTCGCACACAAGCATATGCAGTTGTTATCATTGGTGTGTGTGTATTTTGGTGTTGTATGTGTATATTTTTTGTTGTTATTTGTTCATTTGTAAGTTGTTTACAATTGTTGTTGTCGTTGTTGTCATCATCATTGTTGGGTTTGTTGAAGTTGGCAGTTACGTTGACATCAATGGCGACAGTATTGTGTGTGTGCATGTAAGTATGTGTATGTGTGCGATTGTTGTCGTTGTTATTTTGCATCACAATCAATAAAAACAATCATAAATCATGGGGCGGTTGTCAGCGTTTTGCGTGTCACCATTTTGTTTGTACGTGCGAAATTTAATCCATTTCAAATTGTTGTAGTAGTCGTAGTACGACAAAGGGCGGCAATGACACACATACATACATATGGGTCGCAAAAACAAAACCCCGAACGGTATACATCAGTAGAAGCACAGCAACAGTGTGGAAAACGTGAATACCAACAATCAAGCAGGAACCATCATCATAGGTGTTCAATTCCAATTTTGTTTTTTTGTTCGGAGCAGCAAGTTGCCATGTTGATATATGAAACCGCAAAAGAAGGCAGCATAGGTGAACCAAGAAGGATTCGGGATTCGCAATACAAGACACAGCACACACACAAATAAAGCAGCCACATAACATTCCGAACAACCAAACATATGTGATTGTCAACCATACACCAGGCAGGCAGTCACGGAGACAGGCAGCACAGCCCCGTCAGGTAGTATGTCAAGTCAAGGGTGTTGAAATCCAAGCAAAACGTGGCAAACATGTAAATTATAACCACAAAGTTCAGTTCAGGTTTTTTGCAGTTGTTGTTTTCGTTTGTTTGTATTTTTTGCACATTCACCCGCACATCAACAGCAGCAACAGCGACAACAAACAAAGCAATCATCATTCATTTCCATAACGGGCGCCGCAAAAAAATGACAGTCATAATAAAAGGGAAAGACAGAGCAAAAAAGAAAGAGAGACAAAGAAATAAAAAAACGAGAATATTATAGTTATTATTGAAAGCATTTTTCATTCAATATTTGTTTTTGAGTTTTTTTATTCATATTTTACGTTGATGGCCCAGCAATTTTGTAATTTAGGTTAAAGTGACGTTAATGGAAAGTGAGTGAGTGTTATTGTAGTGGATATATGTCAATTTTTAGATAGTAGCATTTTAGGAAGTGTATAGGAATATTTGTGATTAGTTTTGTGGTGATATAGAATTTAATTTATTTGTTAAGTTCCTAAAAGTATGCAGTGGACATAAGGGATTATTTAGAATTTCGAATGTATAATTCAATAAACACTTTGTCTTTAGTTTAATATCACGTTTTGTGACATGATGCCAGATTTGACTTTTATAAAAATAATAAATGTTGTTAAATAATTCAAACCCAAACCTTTAAATATCTTAATATAAGAAAATATGGATTTAAAACACATTTGAAACAAACGACTAAAATTTGTTGTCTACCCACCTAGGTCCAGGATTGTAGCCACTTCATAATCCTCAAAATACCAAAAATAGGAGTATCCTAAGAACTGTCCGATATTAATATTTGATAGAATGATTTTATACCCACTGAGCAACCAAAGTATTATATAAGATGCAAATCTGTTGAAAAAGTGCCGAAAAATTCTTATAATAGGGGGTATACTAAAACTTGGGTCAGTGTTGATAATTCGTCGTAAGGGTATTATTTCCCCAATGCGAATTCTAAATATAAGGTTGGGGAAAAAGAAATCCATTATTTTTTTCGGCAGACGGCTATACAGAGAGGATTCTCGTAAAGCAAACGGCTATACAGAGAAGATTCTCGTAAAGCATCAAAACAATTTCAGATTCAATTTTGTTTAGTGCATTTTGTGGTGAGTTACAGGGTGTTAAAAATGGAAGTGAACAAAGAAAAAAATCGGTACATTTTATAGCGTTGCCTCGACAAAGGCAGGAGAAATACCAAACTACAGGACTTCAGGTTGAAAGTTTGGAATGGGACCATGAACATACGGAAAATGTTGCGTAACCTTCGTATGGGGCCGCTGTAGAATCACAGACTTCTATTAAAAATGATATATAAGTTAGTTTTTTATCCACCAATTGTGATCCACTTCATAATCCTCAAAATACCTAAAATTAGGGTACCCTACAAATGTTCGATATTGATATTTGGTAGACAAGTTTGAAATCTACTGAGCAATGGAAATACGTGCCCATTCCTAAATTCGAATAAAAGGTAACATACTTAAACTTGGACAACTACACTTGTATAAAGTAATTGTCTTTAGTTTGACACTGTTAAGCTCTCAGTATATGAGTGTTGATTTTATGGTCCAAAATAGGAAAATAAAGGTTCAAATTTTATTTAGATTAATACTCGGGGTCAAAAATTTTGTTGATATAATTCGAATCTATACTAATTAAAGAATGTCCCCGCAAAATTTCAAGTTAAAATCTCAAGAACTCTTGAAGATATAGCCGATTTATTGTGTCAGCATCAATTGACGGCTGAAGGGCTTCTCAAACTTTAAACGCGTTTTTCTCTAAACATTTTTTTGCCAATGGCGGGCACGATAACTCAAAAACTAATAACCCAATCGATTTCAAATTTTTACACGTTTCTCTGTGAGTGTATAGCTATCGTATGAACTAGGATAAAGCCAATCGGTGAAGATCTTCCTTATTTTTTAACTTGGTTTTTGGTCAAAAATCGGTGATTTTTCAAAAATATTTTTTAAAAGGTCCGCCATTTTGTTAATTTTAGAGCGAAGTCAATAATCCTAGTTCATACGAGAGCCAGACATGTACTCTTTCTAACACCGTTGGAATTTTCGGATTCCGATGTTCCAGTGAGGAGTTATCATGCCCGCCATCAAAAATAAGGACTTTTCTTTAATTACAAAAAAAAAAACAACAAAACAATAACAACAATTTTTTGTAAATTATTTTTCTTCTCTTTTAAATCTTCAAATATATATGCAAAGTTACAAACCTTAACAAGCATTGGTATTGATTTACCAGCCCATTGAAAATCTTGAAAATTTTAAATCGAGAATGGGTGGGGTTCCCTTAAACCATTTACAATTGACCTGGAATTGCAAGAATTTGCCAACAGGAGATGTGCTGTGTTCCACCAGAGCAACGCTAGGCCACACACATCAACAGTGACTCGCCAGAAACTTCGGGAGCTTGGTTGGGAAGTTTTAATGCATCCGCCATACAGTCCGGACTTGGTATTAAGCGATTATCATTTTTTCTTGCATTGCAAAATTTCTTTACTGATAAAAAAAAATTGGTATCTAGGGAGGATTGTGAAAATCGAATACAAGAGTTTTTTGCAAATAGAGAGCAGGACTTCTATGAGAGAGGCATTATGAAGTTATTTTTAAAGTGGCAACAAATCATACAACAAAACGGTGCATATTTGGTCCAAATCGGACAATCCGAAACATGTTAACTAAAGTCCTATAGTTCATATAAAAATAATGGATTTCTTTTTCCCAAAACTTATTTATAATTTGAACTTGAACAACGTTCTTAATTCAGTTCGGTGTGCTGTCTGTGGAGTTTTGTTGAAATCGGTTCAGATTTAGATATGTCTCCCATATATAGTTTCGTCCGGTTTCATCTAAATGGTGCAGTAAAATCTTAAGGATTGTCCGATTGAGACAAAATCTTGCACAGCGTACTGAATTAAGTCCAGTTTAATGACTGTGGAAATTAGTTCAGATTTAACTAAATCCCATATATACTTTCGTCTAATTTTATGCAAATGGTGTAAAAAACTCCCAAAATTTGTCCAATTGAGATAAAATCTTGCGCTATTTACGGAGCTAGGTCCAGATAATCGTATGCGAAGTTTTGTTGACATCGGATCAAATTTATATATAGCTCTCATATAAATATATTCGTCCAATTGTATGTAAATGGTGCTCCGAATAGCCTTTGTTTATTAGATTTACACGAATTTTGGCAGAATTAAGTTTAGAGTTCAAGTAGCAAAAATCGGCGTAGATTTAGATATTTCTCCTATGTGTATTTGCTTCTTATTTTATGTGTATGATGCACAGAGCCGCCTACTTCTGTTCCATATACACGAGATAACATTGTGGTCAGCGCACTGTGCTGCAGCATACCACATGGGGTACGACACGGTTGCTCAATTAGGTCCTGATTTATACATATTTCCACATACATTGTTTTGCTCGATTTTATACAAATGGTACACAAAAGAATCCGATTGACATGCAATTTTTCATAGATTTGAGAATGGTATGTGTATGGGTTTTTTAATTGTTTCAAATGTCTATGTAGATCACTTATTTAGTTTCGCCCGATAACATTTCAAAGGTTTTCAAAAATGTTATGTCTGTTCAATAAACAGGATATTGTATGTAAAGTCACTTGTATGTATCCAAAGTGGTG